TGGATTTCACCAGTTTGGCATAGTGTCCCTCTGGATTTCACCAGTTTGGCATAGTGTCCCTCTGGATTTCACCAGTTTGGCATCGTGCAGGTGGTGAAGAGTAAAGTGAAACACGTCATTGCCTGACCCTTGTGTCGATGTGGGTCTTCTTAGGTGGGCTGAGAAGGAGCTGCACATGATGAAACTGTTCTTTGACGACCTGCAACACTACATCCAAGAAGTCCAAGAACACCGGCACAAGTTTGCACTGTGAGTCTGTCAGGAGTGTCCTAAAGGTTCAACTGTCTTAACTCTGCAGATTTGTTCGTCAGCTGCAACTGTCCATGCTATATTTGTATGAGTTTGTGCAAACACTTCACTACCGTGGCGTCAGATCAGAATCTCAATACCTAAATGTTAGAAACTGACACCTGTGATTAAAACGTGTGCTGACCCGGTTGTGTCTTCTGTTGCAGATACAGTCACAGTGCAGAGGTCCAGGTCCGCCTGCAGTTCCTCACCTGTGTCTTCTCAACACTGGGATCACCAGACCACTTCAGTAAGTCCTCGTAGTGGTCAGTGGGCAGATGTGATCTTAAACTGATGTCTCGTTGTTTTAAACATGTCTGGGAAATGGTTTGTAAGCTCAACCATCCCGGTAGAGAACAACAAAAACGGTTCAATCATGTCATCTGGACCAGTTTCTTTAAGTGAGAAACGGTTCATCCACCATCCAGAGGACTTCCTCAGTCTACGGCCTACCAACCAGATCTGTTCCATAGGTCGCCTTCACTCTTGAACAATCATTAACAAAATTTAAAAACCTGTGCAAGTTTGCACAAAACATCTGAACTGTAATTTATAAATAATTTATAAACCATAAACTGTATCATTTAGAACTGGCTCCAGATGTGTCTCATCTCTTCAACCTGTTAAAAAGACAAATTACATAAAGTTTGTTGAACAACTTGTCTAAAAGTTTTAGTTTAATGTGAGAAATAACAGTTACCTTTGAGCTGCAGCTGCATCAGAGCTTCTAACATTTGTTGTTTCATGGTGAAGTTGTGGAGCTGCTTTATCGCAAAAAAACATGAAGAAATAACGTACATTGGATCCATCGTAATAAAAAAACCTGAACCCGTCACCTTCACTGAGCTGTCTGATCATAAATCCTTAGTGATGCAGCAGGAGATGGAGCAGGAGATGGAGCAGGAACTGTTCACAGCCTTTGGAGAATCAGCTGGAAGTTTGTTGCAGAGTTCTCTGGTCGGCTGCTTCACTTTCATCTTCCGTGAATTTTGTCGTATTTCCAAAATACTGTCCCGCAATTTTATTTTACACTTCTTGGAAACAACTGTGCTCTTGTGAAGCTCCGTCTTCCCCGGAACATTGTAGGATCTGAAATGATTGTTAAAGAAGAAGCAGCGAGTTGAATCACGCTGTCTCCCTCCTCCATGCTAGCAGGCTCCATTCAGATAAAGGGAGCTGGATAACTAGCTGCTGTACGGTGGCCTACACGGCTCAATTCTACGGCGGCCTAACGGGGAGTAGGAGCGGAAAAAATATAAAAAATACATTTTACAATCGATTTATGGTCCTTTAGAAACGATTCAGAATCGCCAGGACTAAGAATCTAGATTCATCGAAAAAACTATTTTTTTCTGCACCCCTACTGAGGAAGTCCTCTGGATGGGGAACAAACAGTTTTCTCTTAAATAATCTGGTCCAGATGACATGATTTAACCTTCTTTGATGTCTGGAAAGTCCTTTTTTACTTCAAATGTTTAAATTATATTTTTATTGAATTTAATGTGGATTTACGTTAGGGCTGGGCCTTATCATATCCTTCACGATAATACCGATAATAAAAGCTTACGCACGCAAATAAATTATATCATGATATGCTAATTTCATGATGTAATACGTCAAGCGCCCCGCCCCGATAACAGAACCGAGTGCGCCGTACGACCAAACCAAACTGCGCCCCCCTCCACCTGTCGGTACTGGCGTCACGCTAATTAGTTGCAAGCAATACTAGCTAGCTAAAAAGCTAAAAACAAACGATGTGCAGCTCAGCTGTCTCTCCATCCAGCTCTAAACTGCAGGTACAGACAACTCAACTGTCTCTCTCACCCCCCCACCCCACTCTGTGCTGCATGTGAAGGCGCAGCTCTCTGCTGCGTCTCCCCTGCTCTAAACTGCCGCTGTTACACCACCTGTACAAACACACACAGGTCTGTCTCTTAGTTCCACAGTCCATGGAACAGGAACAGTCATGTGATCAGAGACAGCGTCATGTGATCAGAGACAGCGTCAGGTGATCAGCGTCAGGTGATCAGAGTCAGGTGATCAGAGTCAGGTGATCAGAGTCAGGTGATCAGAGACAGCGTCATGTGATCAGAGACAGCGTCATGTGATCAGAGACAGAGTCATGTGATCAGAGAGAGTCAGGTGATCAGAGACAGAGTCATGTGATCAGAGACAGCGTCATGTGATCAGAGACAGCGTCATGTGATCAGAGACAGAGTCATGTGATCAGAGACAGAGTCAGGTGATCAGAGACAGAGTCATGTGATCAGAGACAGAGTCATGTGATCAGAGACAGTCATGTGATCAGAGACAGAGTCATGTGATCAGAGACAGAGTCATGTGATCAGAGACAGAGTCATGTGATCAGAGACGGAGTCATGTGATCAGAGACAGCATCATGTGATCAGAGACAGCGTCATGTGATCAGAGACAGCGTCATGTGATCAGAGACGGAGTCATGTGATCAGAGACAGCATCATGTGATCAGAGAGCATCATGTGATCAGAGACAGAGTCATGTGATCAGAGACGGAGTCATGTGATCAGAGACAGCGTCATGTGATCAGAGACAGCGTCATGTGATCAGAGACAGAGTCATGTGATCAGAGACAGAGTCATGT